GTTTCTAATTTATTCATCTCTAATTTATTGTAAATATATTGAATAATTCTGATTAATATATTAATGGAAATGAATATTGGCATTTTTATTTCATGTTCCTTGATCAAATGACTAATCCCTGTTTTCGAAGTGCAATTCTTCAGCAAAATACTAAAGTCTTAGTTCCAAGTATACTAACCAAATGATTATTTCAAATATCATGCAGTCAGATCGCATAATGTTTTATTTTCAAGATTAGTTCTAATCCCATGCCTGTCTTCGCAGTCGGGATCTAATGGAACCTTTAAATCGAGAAAATAAGTCGGCTGCTACTAGTAATTTCCAGTGCGCACGTCCCAAAAATCCCCCACGATATGCCCAACACTTGCGCGGAGAACGGCAACTTCAGGGAATTGTCTCACTCCATCTCACTCCTGTGGAAATAACCTTGTTACACTGATTACACCATTATATACTTACGAACTGTGAATTTACAAATTTACACGGCGAACAAACTGTGGGTAATAAAATATATAGAACCGAGATGCATATTAAACCGGTGAATTGCACACCATAAAAATTGCAATAGACAGAATTATAATTTCATTCTCAGTTCAGTAAAGATAAGGTTCGGCGACTCGTTCTATTAAATTATAGTGCAATGAAGATAAACATGCATTACTTAACATGTTTTTCTTTTAATAACAGTATTTATACAAAGTACCATAACTATGGAATGTGGACATTATAATAGTTTGTACTTTTCTACACATCGCTAAATACCATTTAGTTCAGTGATGAACCTAACTTAACATGAGGTGAAACTGGATATTAGCAGTAAGCAATAATAAGTATAAAGGTAATACGAAATGGAAGCCCAAGAAAACGAGCAGTTCGTCTCATTTCCATTGTCAGACGTTCATGATGGTATGCAAGATAATATTATATCTCACGAGGAGATTTGTGAGCCTATGGATGAATGTGATCTCCAAGAAGGTTACACAGAAGTAACTGTTACAGATGTTGACTCCAACATTACAGAGGGACAAGTCGCTGTTGAGATTTTATCAAAACAATCAGATGAGGAAGATGACAATCGTGTTGTTTATCCGATATACATTAAGGAAGAAGAACCACAGCAATATACGTCTGGAGATGACGAGTCCATGGCTGTTGAAGCATTAAGACAACTGGGGGGCATGTATCCTTGTTTTGAAGATAAAAAAGTAGCTTGTACAACTTGTACAAATCACTTTACACAGACAGAGTTAGCAGAACATCATGAAACTTGCGCGGACACTAAATTATCGTGCATTACTTGCGGCGAGAGATTTGAAAGAAAGATCGATTTAAATAACCATATAGTTTGCCATCAGGTAGATCGTCCACATGCCTGTCGGACTTGTGGTAATTTATTTCGTTCCAAAAGCAATTTGAGATGCCATATGTTGCAAGTTCACCAGGTGGAAAGACCTCATAAATGTAACATATGCGGAGCTGATTTTCAGAGGCCATCTAGCTTAAGTAATCACATGAAAATTCATACCTATGTCGCTGGCCGTGCAATTATGCACACTCAGGGTGTTAATGAGTCGCAGTCAGAAGAAACATTTAAAAAGTGGCCTGAGAATATAACAGAATCTCAAAACAGTGGAACTGTGGAAAGTTATGATGCAGTGCAATGGACGGTACCGTCCTATAACTTTCCTAATGAGCAAACTACTATTAATGCAATATCTGATACGGAAGAGAAAATAGACACGTTATCCGAGTTTACCGTAATGCCAAATGGAGAGGTCACTCAATTTGAATATAGCCAACAAAATAATATAAGCAATCAGCAATACACTCTGTCATTAAACTCGTTCAATAATGCCGATACAATGGTGAAAGTTAAACCTCTGTCATATAACAGCGAAGTCGAGGCAAATGATTCGAAACGGCATACTTGCAAACATTGCGGTGTTAGTTTTTCTCGTGCAACAGCACTCGTTTCTCACGAAAAGATTCACGCGTTTAAGAATTGGAACATGCCGATTGAGTGCGAGTACTGTGACAAGCAGTTTCAAGATGCGAATCATTTAGCAACACACCAAACAACCTGTGGCAAAAAATTAATGCAGCATGGTAATGCGGAACAAGGCATGGCGAACAATAAATGGTGCAAGCATGCCTGTTCCGAATGTGGTAAAAAATTTACTACTAAACAAAAAATGTTCCGACACCAATGGATCCATCGGAAGAAGACACATTCCTGCGAGGTATGTGGATCTCAATTTGAAAAGCAAAACGAATTAGATGAGCACAGATTATCGGCTCATCCCGGGGATTCGCCGTTTACTTGTACGGAATGCGGTAAAAGTTTCGTGTCGCGTCAGGGACTTTGGGAACATGGAAGAACGCACGCCGGCAGTCCTGCACACTTCCATTGCGACACGTGCTCGAAAACGTTTTCATCACGGCAGGGCTATTTAATACATCACAGGACCCATACAGGAGAGAGACCATACGGCTGCAAATTCTGCTGGAAGGCGTTTAGAGATGGTGGAACGTTAAGAAAGCACGAAAGAATTCATACAGGAGAGAGGCCCCATGTCTGTCCTCTCTGTTCACGGGCGTTTAATCAAAAGGTTGTTTTAAGGGAACACGTCCGGTGGGTTCACGCAGCGGGAAAGAATGATACAGAAATAACTGGCCCGCCTTTCCCCTGCTCTCTATGCGGTGCATTGAATCAGGATCGGGACGAATTATGTGCACATATTGTCAAGCATTCTGATCAAATGATCGCGGAGGCGAAAGCTAAAACGATTAACAATGCCACGAAGCCGAAGACGAAAAAACTAAAAACATGTACGAACGCCCAAGCAGAAAATAATGTAACTTCAGGAGAAAACTCTATTGCAGAAAGTGAAAGATCGGATGATATACGGAACGATACTTTCCTTGTAGTCACCACCGAAAAGCGTGCACTTGATATTACGACTCATAATGAAATAACAACGATGCATTTAATACAAACTTCAAAGCAACCAAACACTTTCCATCTGATATCGAAGCAGAACGACTCGTTGCCTGTTTTAACGTTACCGAATCCTCAGGGCCACGATGAGTTTTCAAGTCAAATTGCACAAATAAGTAATAACGATTTATCTATGGACATAGTAAACACTAAGTTAAAAAGAGATGTGAAAGATGAGACGGAGGAGCAGTCGTTAGTCGAGGAGGGGCCGTCCCAGACGGTAATCCAAGTGTTACACTATAATGAAGAGGACAGTGATAATGAGGATTTAGTCTGTGGTATTTGCGGGGAGGAATTTAAGGATAAAAAAATATTGATGGAGCATGTAAAAATACATATTTAGTAATTATTATTGATGTTACTACTTACTGTAAAGATAGTGAAAGCAAACATGTCTCATGTTTCTAAGAGAAAAAGGTATGCTGCAATATAACTCTGTTAAATATTATTTCTAATTATAGTAAAATAAGATTTTCTATGTGTCTTACAAATGCACCGATACTAAAAAAATTGTTTTCTTTGTATTCAGATTATGTTTTGGTAGATATTTTTAATTATTTTTTTATTTCTCTGTCATGTTATCGGGTTTAAATTGCGGCGATTTATGGTGTACATCTTATAGAATAAAATGTAGGTAAAAATTTATAAGTTAAAGTTATGTAAACCACATTATTTGGTTTGAAGAAACATATCGCAAAGAACAAGTAAACCTGAAGATTCAATATGATTCGTTCAAATTATTTAACTTTCGTAATATAAAAGTTTATTTATAATTTAACAATAGCGACCGAACTAAATGATTTAAGATATAAAATGTGAAATGCAATAAAGAAATAAAGTACATTTTATTTTCTACAACACACCTATGATTTTATATGAAAACACTTTTCATGGATAGTTCCAATAGTAATGTTCGAATTGTAGCGCCATTCATTCCCATAAAATTGAATGAGTTCCTCATGTGTCACTTAACCGAAATACGAGTGCGCGGTATTTTGTAACGTAAACAATCGTGCTTTGTAATTATCTCGTAACGTGCCGCGTTGTTTTACTAACAATTACTTATTGGATATCAACAAACAGCCAAAGAGAGGTAAGTAACAATATTCAAAAGAATTTGATAAATTCGTATTTTATACACAAGTATTAAAAAGTACAAAAATATTATTCATATTTTTTACTATGCAATAAGAATTCCAAATCTATTTTTAAAGAATACGAGCTAACAGTTAATAGTTCCTCTAATTATTTTAACATTTCATAGTTCCTCTAATTATTTTGCTATGAAATGCTAACCTGTACTTGACGTTCTTTCTCCTACGTTTACTTTGTCTGTCGGAACATTGGATGAACGTGTGTAACGTGTCCGATTGCGAACGTATTATAAAAGAAATGCATGTGGAAAGTGTATTATAACTAGATAGAAACAAGTATATTTAACGTTTATTGCATTAAATGGAAAAAAGTTTATTTTGAAAATAAACTTGTAACCTTAAACGTCGGTGTATGAACATTCGTAATCTGAAAAGGTTATGTTATGACGCCGCTGCATCGTTTTGATAGACGATTAATCGCGAAGTAAATAGTATTGGAATAAAACGAGAGAAGTTTCCGAAGTCATTTATTAAAACGTACAAAGATGCCCACTTGGAATCAGATTCAAGCGCAACTTCGAAATCCGAATAATCCGGTGGTATTTTTCGACGTGTCCGTCGGTACCACAGAAATCGGGCGGATGATCTTCGAGCTCTTTGAGGATGTTTGTCCAAAAACATCAGAGAACTTTCGACAATTCTGCACGGGAGAGTACAGAAAAGACGGTGTGCCATTGGGTTTCAAAGGTGCTATATTTCATCGAGTGATCAAGGATTTCATGATCCAGGGCGGCGATTTCGTAAACGGTGACGGTACTGGAGTCATAAGCATTTACGGCGGTGGTACCTTCCCTGACGAAAATTTCACATTAAAACACGACTCACCTGGGCTATTATCCATGGCCAATAGCGGTAAAGATACTAACGGTTGCCAGTTTTTCATCACGTGTGCCAAGTGTAATTTCTTGGACGGTAAACACGTCGTTTTTGGAAGAGTTATCGATGGACTTTTGGTTATGAGGAAGGTGGAAAATGTTCCCACGGGGCCAAATAATAAACCAAAAATACCTGTGACAATATCTCAATGCGGACAAATGTAATAGCTAAACGATTGTAATTTATATTTTTATATTGTAAACTAGATATAAAGTACCACGAAAAGCGTGTTATATTTGTCGTAATTAAAGAGGCACATTTTAAAAAATCGAATTCCTTTTTACTACTATTTAATTTTTTTAATTCTGATCTATAATAAATTGGTAATTAATACTGAAATTATTCATTTACTTGAGAGCAACTCTTATTGCCCTCAGGTACCTCGTTAATTTCTTATTAATAGAGATTGGCTATCAAGAACCGATTATGAATACTTAGACAGTTAATAAATTGCATATTGACTAACGAAATGATGAGTCGAATCAAATAAAGGTGATCGAAAAATTCTGATGAAGAGAAAATTAAATAAATGAGTAATTACAGTACGAACTTCAATTTTATTACGTTAAATTTACATACGAAATAAATAATCACTGTAAGTACAATCTAGATTGCATTGTGCTGGATACAAATCCAAACGCGTCTGGAATATCAGCGATCTCTCCGGAGAGAAACACGTAATATATACGATCTAATTAATGTTTAAGGACAAAATTCCAACCGTAAACGTTAGGTCTTCATTTCGTATCTATTTTCGAATAATCTAACACGAGATTATCGTCTTTTTCGTACGTAATTCGTTCGTGGAACGATCATAAACATAAGGGAATAGACCGAGCGTCGAATGTATTTTTGTTGAGCCCGTAGAAGATAGAGAAAGCATGCTTTGAATGAGTTTCTGTCTCTCCCACTCTCGCATACAGAAAGAAAGTAAACTCTTCCATTCATTTTCTTTCTCTAAATCGCCTGGTTCCAAGTCTCCCACTCGAGCACTCGGTCTATTTTCATATGTTCACGGAAACGATTTGATGTTATATCTATTGATAGCCTAAAAGACAATCGATGTTCTTATTTCTGTATAACTACATATTAAACTTTAATTACGTTCTAACTTGTTAGATGAATGACAAATCGTATTCGATTGTAATCGCTATCGATCATCTGACGCGTTTACAAAAATTAGTACAATTCCTACGTGTATGAACGATTATTCTCGTCAGCATATTATCTCCTGCCCTATTTTCATTTAAATACGAAAATAAATTCCAGTTCCACTTACGTTGCATAAAATCGTGCGTGGAAAGGCGAATTCCCAAACGATTTGCCAACTTCCCAAAGAAGCTCCTCATCGTTAATGCCTTCTAACAGCAGGCAAACTCAATTCAAATGTAACGTGCGAGAAGACACATTCTTTTAACTAATACTCGGAATCCATTCGATCGAATCCCATCTCAAAGAGAAACGTGATCCCCGTCATTGGCCGTTCCCTAAAAAACCAACAAAATTCACGGAACTATTCTCGATACTTTTATACGCGACCCGGTCGGGTTTCGAAAAGCTTTTCGCATTAATTCATCGATCATCTTGGTATCATCGTCGGGATCGTCACGACCTGAAAAAACATTACATCGTCAGCAGCTCACGGCAGCGATAGGAGCGGGTCCCTCCTCTTGGGTACCGTGAGCTGAGACGCGATCTACCTGCTATTACAAAACACGTCTTCCTCGATGGTGTCGACCTGCGCGTTATCCTCGACGACCATGATCGGTGTAGCGCCGTCGTGGAGGCTCGACTTCGAGATCGATCGTTTGTAAACGTCTCTGGTTACGCTCCTGGTGAAGCTGAACTTCCGCACGAGCTTCTTGTCCAATGCCGCGGGACTCTTCGGTCCCTTCGCCCTGAACTCGTCTTCGGTGCCCTCGTAATGAGCGAGCATCACCTCTGTCGCGTGCTCCTCGATCACGTCCACAGCGTAATCGATATCATCATCGGTCGCGTTCTCTTTGATCACGCAGAATCTCAATATATATTTGCCCATGACTCTGGCTGGGATCATGTGAAGCCTCCCGGACGCGTTGATGTTCGCCAACAATTCCTGATTTATTTCGTCGCTCTCTTTTAACCGGAAACAAACGAGACCTACTCTCACGTCGTTCGTAATCTCGAATCTCTTATCTCGCTTCATTAAAGTTTCGAACCGTCTCGCCAGTCTGATATGATTCCTTATATATTTCTGTAATCCTGTTATTCCGTATGATCTCATTACGAACCACAACTTTAACGCCCTGAATCGTCTACTGAGAGGAATACCCCAGTGGCGATAGTCGATCGATTCGCCGGATCTGGCGTGCTGAAGATACAATGGATCCACGACGAGTGCCGACGTGAGTTTCACCCGGTCTCGCACCCATAAGCATGAACAATCGAAGTTCACCAATAGCCATTTATTCGGGTTGGTGTTAAACGAGTCCGCGTGTTGAATGCCAGCCATCAACGTTCTCATCTCTGGGCAGATGAACGCGTTCCCAGCATAAGCGCCGTCCACGTGTAGCCAGATGTTTGGGTAGAGTTTGCAGACCGGCCCGATTTCAACAAGATTGTCGAACGCGCAAGAGCCGGTGGTACCGAGCGTCGTCGAGACGAAGAATGGCACCAAGCCGTTCGCCACATCTTCGCGTATGGCAGACTCGAGTCGCTTACCTCGTAGGCAGCCTTTTTCGTCGGGTTCTAGAACGCGGAGTTTCACTAAGCTGATCATCGCCGCCTTCTCCACGCAGGAATGAGCTTCTGTAGAACAGTAAGCCACCAACCGTGGCAAAAACGCTGAATCCTCGGTGCTCGGGTCCTGTTCCTTCAAAGTCCGAATCGACTGGGTTCGTGCTGCGAGCATCGTGACCAAAATGCATTCGGAGGCAGAACCTTGTATCACGCCTCCACCTTTTGAACCTTTGTGCTCGGCCAGGAACTCTGGTGGAAGGTCGATCGCTTTTGCGTACCAGTCAAGGACGATCGTTTCTAATTCCGTGCAGGCGGGACTGGCCGCCCAGGAGAAACCTATGCAGCCGATCGCGTCGGATAACATGTCCCCGAGAATCGACGGGAATGAGTTGCCGGCTGGGAAGTACGCGTGAAATCGTGGATGTTGCCAGTGCGTAATCTGCGAAAGTATCGTCGGTCGTAAGAACTTGAATTTTTAACGTAAAGGTAGTCCACTTGTTACGCGCTTATCAATGATATACCAGGCCTACGTGTAATGTCTTTTGCGTGTTTCGTTTTTTTTTTTTTTGTATTAATAAACGTTTTATTTCTTCACCGCTTTTTGGCGGAACATATTCTTTAAGTTTAACACCTGTGTTCCGCTGAACACCAGTTAAGGACCACTGAAATAGAGTAATAATAAAAGTAAATTTCGGTACAATCGCTGGTCCGTCTACATTGATACGCAACGGCGATATTTGTAACAAGTGGCTACCCAGCTGAAGATTAGGATAGTTCGGATGATACGGATGATAGGACACACCGATTCACGCTTGATCGGTTTTTCCTATTTTTTCGTATTCGCGAATATTATTAATATCGGAAGAGGTGGGATCGATACTCGAGCCGACACTCACCCCGGGCATTATTTTGCTGTCCACGTCCCTTATTATCGTATCCCAAGACTCCCCTTTGGCCGGCGCTTCCTTTGGCAAAAGAGGCCTCAGATAACCCGGGTCCACGTTAGCTGTCACCCTTTTTCCCTCCAAGGTGCGCAGGTACTCGCATATGTACTCGATCATCTCCTTGCCGCGTACTTGAAACTCATCGATGTTCATGATAATCGCCGGCTACAATACGAAGCAGAGACGCCGGGTAGTTTAATCAACCACTTGTATAATATTAACAATATAAAAATACTCGAAGAAAGGAATTTAAGAATTCTTAGTGTCATACATATATGAATGCGTTATTATCGTACACATTTAAATGATTCAACGTGTTGAGCACGTTCGCGGCTAAATCGAGTCTACGTTTACATTTTTCACCGCTATTTATCGGTATCACAAACGTCATTCACATTCGAAGAGATACCTTAGATCAAATTCTTTTTCTTCGTCTTTCTTTCTTCGAATACCACCGCGATTCCGATTCCCACTCGATCGCCCTCCTGATTGCCGGGCAAGAAACTTTGATCCACTTACGCGCGTGACACACGGTCGATCGGATACAATTTTTATGCGGTCGGAAGTCGTACGAAGTTCTCGCGGCGGAGGTAACGCGTAACAGGTAATATACGTCCCGCGTTGGAACTGACACTGCTCGCACCTGGCAAAGCGCCGGTCTGTTTTATGCGCGCCTCCTCTTCGTACATCCCTGCCGCACGCAGATAAAATTAAGGCGGAGCTTCGCGAAAAATGTTCATTTACCCGTTACTTATTCATTAAGGATTGCGACACCGACGATCTACCGTGCCGCCCGTCACGCAAATGTTACCCTAAACATGGATTACCCACGCCTCGCTCGAAACTTGTTGGTTCAACCCTTCAAATTTGTCACTTCCGCTGAACTTGATAAATTTAGCTCAGGATTCTTCTTCCTCTCCTCCACATGGCATATAAAATTTTAGATACACTTTTATAGACTCCTATTTCTTTTCAATCAGTTTTTTAACAACAGCTTTTAATATTTTTAATAAAAAAGATTGATTAAAAAAGTTAGCGCTTGTTTGTCGGAACTGTGTAAAGGGATCTGACAGGGGGAAATTAATATCCGCCCCCATGGGGGCATCGCGGTGGATACCGAAAATCTGTATGAAAATTCCTGGGAAGGGTGGTCGACATCAATGGTGATGTACGCTGAGGGGGTCGCTGCTTCGATAAGTCGGCGTGTTGTCGATGATGCACGGGGAGTAAACTCGCCCTCTCTACCCCGCGTTTATAAATAGCCGTTTACTCTTCACCTACATTTACAACACCCCGTAGAGAAGCGGTGACAGGTCACCGCTCAATCTTTGTAATACACATACACGGATGCGGCCACATGCCGATCACACCGTTTTCTCTCTCACCGCCACCTTCACGCATGGTCTACCCGCTACCGACGTTTTCGAATTGGATCCCTTCGATCGGGACAGTGCCATCCCGGTGACAATTAATTTAATTAATTCATCGCGTCGTTCCCAGTGAATAAGGAACTTGGATGCTCTCAAGCGATAAGCTATTGATGTTATTGAAAAGTTTTCGACCAGCTTTTTGTACCAAGTCCATTAAATGTAAAAAATGTCTTGAGCGATTCTATGAGTTGCTTTGTAATGAAGGAAATAATATAATTATGTCAGATAGAAATTATTGTGCGAGGAAAGCCACACACGAATAAGATAAAAAATTAGGATTACATTAGTCAATTTGATGACCGTTTGCATAAAAGACGTTTCCAAATATGTGGGTATAATTTCAGGGATAGATTCAATATGATAGAATAAGAAAAAAGTTAATATGACGATTTGCCTTATATGAGCTTCTTTTCAAATTATAGCCGTTTTTATATGAAACCTTTTATTTAATCATTTTTATAGAAACTTTCCGAAGTGGTCACCCTCGGTTTGAATACAGGTCGCATCATAGATCTTTTCACTCTATTTTTTAGATTTTTATAAGAGAGTTGAATAGAAAAATTAAAAATCATGTCTTTCATTTTTTTCCTCGAAGATCTGACCTGTAGCAACTTTTCACTGTGAGTGCATCTCTCGCATATGAGTGCAAGGATCAAGGGAGTTTAAAGGAATGTAAAGAAAGCGCAATTCATACTCAATCGAATTCGTTTATTTGCTTGATATCTCTCAACAGACTTGCCCTAGCTCGTTCGTCACCGTCGACCGATCAATTACCAATTCTGGTGGACTATTAATTGTATCGGTATGCGAACCGATTGCGTTCACAGGTTTCGGTTGACGTAGCAGTTTTCGGTGAGAAATCCGGCGATCACGTATCCGACTCAAACCACACGTGCCGTTTCCGTTTCCACCGCCGTTTGCGTAAATAACATTTTGCATAAATGGAAGTGAAATTGAATAAAATGTCACTTATCGTTATAGTAGTAGTCGAAACACGAATGACCATCGGACAGAGAGAAGGAAAAAAGTATAGGCTAAACCGGACGGTCCGGGTGCATCGCCTACCCTCGGTGACCCCAACCTTTTCGATCGTTTATGACCTTTTTTCGATGTTCATATGGCGCGTTTCATGCTTTTTCTTAATTCCACCCCTCCGGTTCTCGACCCGATTCACGATTAACCGTGCGAGGCCGTGAATAATTCGTAGGCGGATCTACAATACTACTAAAAAAAATTATGGCATTACGAAAGTCTCGGAAATTGCCCGAGTTTATAGTACGATTACTCAGTAACAAATTATCAAAAATTTCTGGATAATTATAGTAGAGTTTTCGAGCTTCAATTTAAAAGAAAAATCATCGTCCTAATTTTCCCGT